CATAACATTTAAAATAATTTGGAATTTTGAAAAATCCTTTCAGGAAGATATTTTTTAATATATATAGAATATAAATAAAATAACTAGTGAAATATAAAAACAAACAATTTTCGATTTTTTTTTTCAAAATTCTAGTCGGGAGTACTCACCACATTTTGCATCTCAGCGTATTCACTTTGTGTCTGTTTCACTCTATACATTTTTTTCCTGTTTTTTAATACTTTCTAATTTTTTTATTTTATGGTAATTGGATCAACTTTTTAAGGTTGCCTTACATATGCTTATTACATTCCATTTCCTTGTATTGCATGTACAGTTTTGGTGAAAGAGGTCTTTAGTATATATACTGCAGTCTATTTTGGAGATTCTCTTTTCCAGCATTATTACCTCTCAGTTCTAGAAAATATACCTTGAAGATCCTTATTCATTATGGGTTATACGCATTTCATTTGTAAGAATATATTTTCCTGCCAACAGGCGTTCCATAATTTCTATTATTTGTATAGCAAAGCTTTTTCGAGTTTTAAATTTCCTTCTAAATTAAAATCTATTTTCCCATCCGATTAGAATGATTTCAGTTCAAATTTAGAAAATGTTCAGCTAAAATTTCACTACGAAACTACTTTTCGCTATGAAGTTTGAAATAGAAACTTTTGAAAATACATTTTAATTTAACTTGTTATTTTTGAATAATATTTCCAATATAACTTCTACTCACCACTCTCACAGTTAGACCGCTGAAAGCAAATGCAATTTTTCATAATTTTTTATTTATTTTTATTTCATTTCAATTTTGCATATTTTTAGTTACTTTTTATATTTTGTTGTTTTATAAATTTTTTTCCACCGCATTTTTTCGCATTAATCTTTATATTGATAATACTTTGTCATACTTTACAAATACAAACATTATTTACAACAACTAAAACTAGGCATAAGTTATTACTATAACTATTTGATTTCAACATAAATACATACATATATATGGTATATATATATATATCTGATGCGCTTTTGAATATATGTGTATATTTGGTTTGTGTTGCTCGTTTGGCATTTGCAATGACAGCGAGCCAAATGAACAGTTAACACAAATACTCATGTATGCATACTTATATAAGTATTTGTAGATGTTTGTGAGTTATTTACAGATAAATGCTTTTGTTTTGCTTTTTTTTATTGTTTGAACGATATAGCTTAGGCGTCCTTGGTATTTTTGTATTTCTCATTTAACTATGTCATAATCCCTGCAGTAAAAAATGTTGTGCTCTTGAAGTTGTGAGTGGTTCAATTCAAAAAGTGATGAAAAATTATTACAATTGCTGTACAGTTAGAGTGTAGATATGAGTCAAACCTAACCTTATAATTAGTTGGCTTTAGTTATACTGCAACTAGTTCACAACTAGTACCGGTTGATTGCATTGCGTAGTAATCACTTAAATTCACAATATTATGCACCGAATGAGTCTTGAGTCAACAATTTTTACTGCAAGGTTGCCATATATTGAATATATGTATATTGTTTTATGCACTGCATGACTGGTTTTTTATGCCAAATTTTAAATTTTACTTTTTGTTTTTGTTTCTGCATCAGGGAAATGGAATACATTTCACTTTCGATGAGTTTCAGTCAACAACAAAATTTTCATGAATATTTTACGCAAATATTTTTTTTATATTTATTTTATATATTTTTTTCCTGCTTTTGCAAATTTTAAATGTAATAATACTTATCAGCCCTAAAAGCATTTAGCGCTGTTTGTTTTGCTTATTTGTCATATATATATTTATATATATTTTTTTTAGCATAGACACTTACTAATGTGGCTTTAATAATTTAGCGATTTTTTTCGCGTTAATTACATATGCTGTTTGCCGTGACCAATATTACAAGTTATTACTTTATTATCCATATTTTTTTTAGGTATTTCAATTTCATAATATTCAATAATTGATTTGTCTAACAAACATTTTAATTAAATATATTTTCCGCATTATTTCACACAAATCGTTTATGTGTGATTTCGAGCCGGCATATCCTTTTCCGTACACGTACGCTTCCGTGTGTGTGTCCTTGCATATATATGTACATATATATGTATAATTTTGTATGTATGTATAATTTTTACTAAATTCCAATCTAATTTTAATTTTTTTGTTGAAATTTTGCATTCAGATTTGTATATTTGCTTGATTTCGAAAATAAAACTATATTTAATAAAAGTTTTTTAGTTTTGATATTATTGGCTAAATTGAATATTTTTGGACTCACGTATTATTAGTGTGATATGTTTAGGAATTTTAATGACCCAAAATGAATTAGAATATATTTAATGAAAATATAATATTTCAATGCAACTTTATCGAAATGTAATATTTTAAAATGTTTTAGTATAAGAGGACATGCCAACGTTTAATAAAGGATTTACTGTTTCAACTAATTATTGTGTGCCTTTGAACTAACAAAGCAGACATCCGAAAAATGAATTTGTTGGAGCGCTCCTCCAATATTTCGATACCGGTTCGATGGTATAAAGCTTCGAAGCCTTTAAAATAGGCGTTATTTTCGCAAAAATAGCAGAGCTGGTGTCACTTTTAGATGAATAACATAACTTGAGAACGGTTGGATGAAATGTCATGAAACTTAGAGAGTATTCTACCTTTGTACTTTAAATATAGATGAGAAAGTTATTTTTGTAGCTTTTTCTTGGTCAGGCTAAGGACTTAAAAAACTTGATTGAGTTTTTTTTTCGGTTTGAAAGATATGACCTTAATAGTAGGCAATAGAAACTTTTACACTGAGTCCATGTGCTAGTTTGCAGCTAAGTGACAAAAATATACCGTTTCTATTATACCATATAAAGTCGTATTTGACGCTAGGTTTGTTAGAAATATTGTAAGTTGGACTGGTAAGGTAGCGTGAATGTATGGAGCCTAATCTGACTTGTTCGGTATGTTTAGCTGTAAGTTTGACTCTATATTCCGCATTCTGCTTCACTTTATCCGCCAGTATTTTATTTTCGGCTAGTTTGTATATCCACTTGTGTGTAGATGTTAAAAATAGTCAAGTATGGAACTAATGCACCATTTGTCCGATTGCAGATCAGCATTTTTACATACTGCCAGTGGTTTGAAATAAAAACTTTCACATACATATGTATATTTTTTTTCGTAAAAAATTTTACTGCAAGAATGCTGCAAATAAAATTAAAATACATATATGTACGACTTTAGAATTTCTTGTTTATTTAACTGTTTATATGTATGTATGTATATATGATAATCCCATGGCCACATAACACACAGAAACACTAACGCTGGTCGAGAGTATTTGAGTTATCTCCTATAAGCTTTAACTTATTTTACTTATTTCGATTTGGCACATTTTGTAGCATTTTCGTTCTTTTTTATTATTATCTATAATTATTTATTTACTTATTGAATATTTACTATATGGATTTACAAATGTAGTTATTTGTTCCTAAATACTCTTAATACATTTACATATACATGTATGTATGCATATATGCGTCGTTGCGAAAGATTTTGGTTATGCTGCTGGCTTTTGCTTTAGCATTTAATATTTATAAATAAATGCATATTTATATAAATTTCTTAGATATACCATACAAGTTATGTAATGATTTTTATCCAACTGGAAATTTTGTGACTTGAGCTAAATTATTTTTTCATTTCTTAGAAAAAAATAAGTGTACTGAAATCAAAACAAGAATGGATTTGAAAATAAGTACTTTATTGTTCTAATTTATGATCTAAATTTCCTATATCTAGTATGCGCTTACGCATGAAAAGTGATTCAAGAGGAAAATATTCGAATCGCATAGGATGGTCCTCATAAAACAAGCGCTTGTAGATCTCTAGTATCTTTAGGCGTTCTACCTTGTGAACGTTTTCGGTAGAAAATTACATAGAAGTACTTATCGTAGAAGTAAAATTATTATTCAGAACATTATTCTTTTATCCAGCTTTATATAAAATTCATCTTAGATATCTAGGAGCCTCGCAGTTAAAGGGACTAGATGAATTATCAAAATTAGTTATCAAGTCTCTTTTAAAATTTTCAAAAAGCGCTGTCGTCCTGTATGATATTTTTGCACAAAATTAATGTATGGAATGACAACCGGCCAGTATAACTGAACCCAATAATCAGCGATTCCTTTTTAAATCTCTTGGATTCCTTGACCCTTAGCCGTTCGCTGGAGAAGCTTTTAAAAAAGGTTTCTGACGTTACGCAAGATTTTTCTGCTTAGCATCATCTCAAATCCAAAAACCAAAAAAAAAAAAAATATTCCTCCGATCATTACCAGACAAATATACAAAGTCATGAGAAAATTGCAGGGTGATAGGTCCAACCGTTTCGTTGAAATTTTTCTCACCGACTCTAAAAACACCGTTTCGAGACAGATGCGTTTAAAGTTTTGGGAGCCGATTATTCCCAATTATTATATTAGTTAAAAAAATTATTAATTATTTTAGTTAAAAAGATTCTTACATACACGCTCATTGCTCCGAAACTACTTGCCGGATCAATTTCAATAGAATATTTCATATACATATACCATATGAATATTCGCCATACATATAAACATGTCTATATGCAAAAGAGATAAAAATAAAATTTGATTCATAAGTGGATATAACCCAAAAAAGCGATTTTTTTTGGCTTTTTCAAGTCGATCCGAATAATAGTTTCGGAGATACAGCCTTTAGAAGGTGTGTGTTTCAAGTCAGGTATAGAAGGGTCAGCGTCTTTAAACGCGTTCTTCTCGGAACCGTATTTTCATAGTTTCATAGCACCTTTTTTCCAGGGGTCACCAGAAATGACGTTAAAATAACGGAGTTTTAATTTTTTGTTTTTTGATAATCTAGAAATTATGCTTTAAATGTGTATCTTTAACACAGAAAAAAGTTTGAATTAAATAAATAACTTTTTATATAGAAAAACAATTATTGAAAATAGATATTTTTTTAACCGACGAAACCCATGTAACCCCTTAACTAAGAATGTTCTTTGCCTAATGAAATTGTTGTTGCTTTCAAATCTTACGTTTTTGAGATACCTCAATTGGATTTTTCAACCATAAATAATACAATTTTTTTAATATTTTTGCTCATTGCAATAATTAGGGTATGGGCTGCAGGTGGGATAGTGATATTAATGACTGATCTTTAACTTAATTTCTCAGAGGATGTTCATATAATTTTTCCCTAACAAATCCTAAAATATTCTTATGAAGCAAGATAATTCCCAGCTGGATAAGCATCAACTATGTCTAATTTTTTGAAGTAAATATAGATTTTTTTCCTAATTTTCATTACTTAACCATTCAAAGAAACTTCGCAGTAGAAATTAAATTAACTTGCTTATTATACTCAATATGAACCTTCTTTGGATAACAGTGCAAACATATATACAGTGTATCTTGCCTAGACTTAAAGTATTTACAATATCAGAAGAGGCGTGTTGACTACTTTATAAGCATTTGTTCTTTACACCTAAATCATACATAAGTACACTATATATCTTATAGTTTTTTTTTTATTAACAAAACGCTCTTTAATACTGCTTTTGGCTGACGGTTATTTCATATTTAGCATTCATATATTTCTATATAATTGTTTTTAAATTTTCCACTGCAAAATTTATCTACACATTTATATATATATATGTATGTAAACTAATCCAATTATTTATGCAAAGCATTTATTTACTTTTCTTTTTTTTCTATCCCGTAGCCTAAACTACAATATATTTCGCTTTAAAGTTTGCTGGGTTGTTTAACTTCAAAGGCCGCCAAGCAACTCTTCGCTAAATACATATGTATGTATGTACGTCAGCTGCTAAAAAATACAGTCAACAGTCATTGTCATAGAAACACATTTCGCTAGAGAGGTAACATTTAACTCAGTTATTTTTTGGTTTGCTTCACGCTAATACCGCTATAATTCAATTTTTCTTCTGCATATTTCATTAATTTAATTTTATTTAATTATTACATTTATTTATTGAGTCGTTATTTTAACTATATTTATGCTTGTTGTTCTGCTTATTCGTGTACTTTATATTACCTTGCTATGCATTGGTTTTTGGTTTCTTTCGTACGTATGTATGTATGTGTTTTGTTGTTCTTACTTTCAATTTTTGAGCTATAAATTACTTAGACTTCGTCTGCTTACCATTGTAACTGCTGTAGTGGTTATTGTTGCTGTCGTTGCACTCGTTGCAAGTGACACGAAGAGCGTTAGCACCAGCAAATACATTGTACTCCATCGCCGACTCAGCGTTTGACCGCCACTTTGCAGCTCCGCATCGCTGCCGCGCTCCTTGTAGAGGCGCCCATTTTGATTACGCGAACCATCCTCGTGACGATTATCTCTCAGTGTTGCGTCATTTTTCTGTGAATAAAATACATGATAAATAGTAAATATATGTATGTATGTCTCGAAACCCGACTGATATCTGTGAAAGGCGGACATTAGCACCTTTAATTTTCTTGTCAGTATAATATTTATAGTATAGTAAGATATATCCTCTAAGTCTCCAGGTTTCCAGATTACTAAAACATTACCGTCTAGCGACGGAATCAATCTACTTCCTAGAGAAATAATGTTTTTTGCATTCTGTGGTCGAAGATACTTATTTGTGGTGAATCCTTCGTGTGTTTGGGATTTGTAAAGCATTTTGTGGTAAACCTTTACGTTTAATATGAAAAATTAGAGCAAATCCTCTATTTTGTTTTCTGAATGGCCCCTAAGAGAGGTCTGTGTGAAGTCAAAACGTTCCACATAATTTTTTTTTGGAAATTTAGCCATGGTCTTGCAATTAAATATAGCTCTATATAGAGGTACTAAGAGCTACTAGTAAGATCGCATACGACATAATTACTCTGTATTGTAAATGATCTCTTGATATTCTTATATTAGTTCTAATATTTATTTGAAGAACTGTTTAAATCCCATATAAGTTTTTCCTCTTTAAAAGACTTCAAGCAAGAGTACGATAAGATTTCTAAAATGATTTTTTACTTCCCAGATACCCATAAAGTTACATTGCTTAGTTCTAAAACTATGAATATATCTAAGAATTGTACTTACCGTGACCTCGTTATCATCTTCTCTTTGATTTTTCTTGCCTGGTCTTTCCATTTCTATTAAAATAAATACAGTTATATATATTATATTAGGGATTGCAGATCGATTACAGTATGTCCATTATAAATCTTAATTTTCAGATAGTTAAAATTGGTTTAGAAACCTTACAGGTATTGAAACCAGATGAAAGACAATATTTAGTTCATATTACTTTCTCGTAACAAGCACGTCGTTAGCTAAAAGGTGCGATATTAAATGAGCAAAATGGCGTTAGTTAAGCAGGGAGTAAGAATTAATCAAAAATCAGCAATAATCACTTTGATTATCCGAAGATTCCGACACAATTCCCAACGTCTACTACAATTTACTCTCATTTAAAAAAAAAAACTAAAGGGACTAATAATTCGAATTCGAATACTTGATGAGCAGAATCTACCATATAAGTACAATCTAGGGATACAACTACCATTAAAAATTAAAGGTTGAAGAGCGACTATAAAGTTCAGGAAGCAATTGACTGATATTAGTTTGCAACTCTTTCTGGCTCCTATAAAAATTCTGAGAGAGTAGAGAATCGTATAGTCATATTTAGGTTTTCATTTGTTCCTCATTCTTCACCCCACTTAGTGCATGAATATCCAAAGACAATTGCGGTTCAAAACCTTAAAATAAAGTATTTAAAGCCGGTCGAGGTTTTCAAAACCAGAGAAGATGTTAAAAATGTTCGAGTTGGTAGTTTTTTATAATTACAAAAACAAATACTTATTATTAAGCTCCTTTCCCGAAAGTGGACTTTGTCTACTTAGAATATTACTGGAGAAAAGCATACAAAGAGCTAGCTTTGGGTATTTTTTATTGGACAGCAATAAAAACGCAAACTATTCCTTCAGTTTTTGAAGACCGTTTTAAAATTTTACACAAGTCATTTTAAGGAGTTGCTCTTTTGTCGCAATCGCCGATATCAGACATCTTAAGGATATAGCTATCATACAATCTGATCAATCAGAATTCAATTCTTGCATGTACAACTTTTTTACTGAACAAATTATCTTCAAGAAATTTTTCATAGATTTTGGTCCAAAGCAACGCTACAATCTCCGAAGAAATTGTACGGCTCGAAGTACTATAGCGTGCAGCGCCTGTTAATGTAAATTTCCATTCCATACTAACCATATAATCGTATCGTTCCTTCCGTGTCGCCAATACTATTCTTCGAGATGCATTTGTAGCCGCCGAAATCACTGGTTTGCAAGCGTCTTATATGCAAAATCATCTCAATTGAGTACATATTATTTTCCTTCTCAGTGAGCACATACCGATCGCCGGCGATAATCATTTCACCTAAAACAAAAGAAGTGAAAAAACACAGAAAAAATATGTTGAATTCAGGAAAGTCTAATGCATGACAAATCAGCGAAAAAATGTTGACTCCATCAAAAGTCAAGTCAAGCGGTATAAAAAGAGTTTAAAGGCACATTCATTAGAGCAGTGAACGTAAAATGAAAAAAAAAAAAAAATGAAAAAAACGCGGCACAACAATGTTGCACTTTCTCGGTAGATGGTTTTAGGTTTCGGTTTCGGTTTTTTGTGTGCGCAGCTTGTTTTAGGGTGACAATGAACTGTCACGTAGAAAATAACATGACATTCGCCAGCAGGGATCGCCCGGTCACTGTGGCAAGTTCATGAAAGCAGTTACTCATTCGTCGGAATTTTGTTGTTGTCGTACTGCGAAACTAGCACGTTGCAACTTCATTTATTCAATGGCACGAAGTCAATAAGCTGCAAATTGTTTCTAGCGTCAAGTTGCTTGCAATCCAGCAACTTGCAATTTTTTCGCAATTCTCAAATTTATTTGGTGATTTTGATTTACGGTTTATCTTTTTTTACTGCTTGCTCATTTGGAGTTTTTGGTTGTAGAAAGTTTAAGCTTCACTGTTTTTTTTGTCATTTCTGATTTGTTGTCGTTGTTGTTGCAGTTGCTATTCTTACCGTATTTTTGCTTACCGTTTTCTCTTTGCCAATAGTTGATTGCTTTCGGTGATGCTTCCACATTACAGACCAATGTGACATCGGTTAAAACGGGCGCACCGACCAGTTGATTGGGAACTTGTACCAATGGGTGAACTGGAAATAAAATATTTATTGTATAGTTAATACTTAGCATAAATTAAGTAAACAAATATGTGAATCAATTAATTTCGAAAATATTCAAACCATAAGGAAAGACTCAATTCGGTATACTGTCGCATAACAAGAGAAGAACGTATTCATGTTCTGACTCTGAAATACTTTAAACTAAAGGAAAATTGCCTCATGACATTCGATTTTAATAAATGCTACTAGTATGAATCGGGTCACCGCGAAGTTTGTGCCAAAATTGTTTAATTTCGACATCAACATCTTTTAGGGATTGACTCAACACATTTTGGTTAATGTTTTGGGTATGAAGCTCGGTAAGGCTAGACTCGTACCAAAAAACCTGAATCTTTTGTAAAAACGACGTCGAGTAGAGGTCGCAAAAAAGATACTTCACAACATAGCTGAGGACTCTACATTTATTAAATCCAGTAACGATGGTCAGTTTATGAATATGAGGTCGAAACTGTACATTAATCTAACTTCAAAATTGGTCAAAAATCAAGGGGATGTTTATCGTTTTCTTTGATTACCCCGGGTGATTTACCATCAATTCGTTCCACAGGGTTAAACGGTCAATAGGTATTACGACTTTGCCGTTGTGCGTCGTCCACGTAAACAACCGTATTTGTTGGCAGAAAATTAATTGACGCGCCGTCATGTTCTAGCATAATTGTACCCGGTTTTTTGGCCAAACACGAAACGCTCAGCCTATGTATTCGCCAGATTAAGCACCATGTGACTTATTTGTTTTCGAAACTAAAAACTCCGCTTCGGGGATCGCTCCATAAGTCCATTGAAGCCTTTCGCTGAAGGCACTGAAGGATATCCCAGCCGAGTCTTATAACAAGTGTATGGCATAACGTTGACATGATTGTATTCGATCAGGAGCCTATTTTGAAGGTGGTATTTAAAATAAGAAAATTTTAAATTTCAGAAGGTGCACTTTGGTCTTGACCAATAGAGTAGGTGTGTTTATGTTTTGATTTTACAGATTTTCTATGGGCTAATGTGTGGCTGCAAGTTTGGTTAGTAAAGCTTCTGTAACTTATGAACTATGTACATGAACCATGAGTTGCGTAACTGAATGCTTTTTCGAATAACGGCATTTTATTTATGAATATACGAGTGCATATAAGTATTAAAATTTTGTTGAATAAGTCAGGTTTTCTCTGCAAAATCATAAAAAAAAATTATTTGCATCAGCCCATCAAAAAATTATTATTTTAAATTTTGAAACAGGAGTCAACTAACTGCAAATTTTGATTTTAAATTCATACCACAAGTACATATGTATATACATCACGGTTGTGTGGCTGAACATAAATAAATCAAATATAATCGAAAAGGAAATAATAAAAATCCATAGACAATACAACACTAATTTTTGTTGTTAGCAGCACAACCATTAGTTGCCTATATTTCTATTAGCTTTTTCAACTTTTTCTACTTTATTCCGGCAGAAAGTTTTGCGCCAACAGCCAACGCAAACCGAGTAATTCAGGCAACAGGCAACATATGGCCAATCAGGCTGATCAAGTGTTCAAGTGTGTTTACACGAAGCCTTACATAAATACATACATACATACAGCAAATAAGTAGTGTGTTTGCCTGCAAACTTCAAGCGCATACATACATAACTACATCAGGAGGTGTGGGTGTTCGATATGAGCTTGTTGCTGCCACTGCTGTGGTCTTCGGTCAACCGTAGCACTGATCATTGTTGTCTCTAACTGTTGTTGCCTTAACCACTTTTGTTGCTATTGTTAGCAATTTGACTTATTGACTTTTCGTTCAGTTGCCTGTCCGGATGATAGTGCATTCTTTATACATACCTACATACATACATACTTATTTTCTATATATGTGTGTGTGGCTGTGTGTGTTGTAGTTGCTTATACTTCTCTTTCTGCTGTTGTCCTGCCATTGTTTGTATTGTTGTATGAAAATGTTAGCACAGATTATAGCCGAAGAGCAGCAGTTGCTCGTAGGTAATGCATGTGTATGTGTGTGTGAGTATCGATGTGCTTAGATGAATACACATGCGGGATATATACGCACATGGATCAATGTGTTTGTTAACAAACAAGTTTTTATGTATTTTTAATGATTATACATAGTGCTGCTGGTGTGGCTTTGTTTGTTGCTTCTGTTCAGGTTTGTTTACCGATGATTTTCGGCAGATAAAATGGCAACATCTGTTCGCTACGAGTATTTATTATTGACAATATTTTTATACATATATATATGTAGTAGTGCCCATGGACTCTTGACAGCAATCATTCGTGTAAGAAATAAAAAAATAATAGGCTTAGCTTCTTGCCAAGAATTTATTTCACTTATTCATTGTTAAATTTATTATGCTAGCAATTATGTTTTTAAAGGGGTTATTCAATACGAGTATTTTGCGCGTTTTTTGGTAATTAATAAAACAAAAAATATAAGCATCATTCATTTGTTAACAAGAAAAAACGTTGCACTGAAGCTATAATACCCTTTAGAAATACAAAAGATACCTTGCCAGGACTTTGGTCGTCCATTTTGTGTGGCAGCTATACGCTATAGTGAACCGATCTGAACAATTTCTTGCGTTGTTGCTTCAAACGATAACCCATGTCAAATTTCGTGAAGATATGTATCTTGTCAAATGAAAAAGTTGTCCATACAAGCACTTGATTCCGATCGTTCGGTTTGTATGGCTATGTGCTATAGTGATCCGATCTACACAATTTCTTTGGATATTGCATTGTTGCCTTAAAGATCCATGCTAAATTTCGTGCATACACCTCGTTTCCATGTTTTCCATGCAAGCACTTGATTCCGATTGTTCAGTTTGTATCACAACTGTATGCTGTAGTGATCCGATATCAGCCTCTCCTAGCGATATATACTATTTGAATATCAAAACTTTCAATATGGAAACAAAAAATTGCCGATTTTTTAAATTTATCTACTACGAGAGCCCTTTAAACCTAACGTGTAGCGATCAGAACGAATTTTGCTCCATACGTAGTGTGTTAAAAACATAACGGGAATTTTCGATTTTTGTAAAAAAAAATTTCCCTACAACTCCTCATTAATCATCCAGACTTCTCTCTTTTATTTGGCGTTCTACCAAAGCCTTCAGTTTTCCACAAAAGTATTTAATATTTCGCCAAATTTTTGTCATTAACTAAATACGATCAAAGGGCGAAAAGAGCTTGTGTTGAAGAAGAGCAAATTACAAACAAACAATAATATATATTTCACCAATGAGCAGTGTTGCCAAATATTGTAAACAGTATACTTTAAATGTGTTATCTGCGTTTTCAGGTATACCGGTGTCAGGAGCCTTCGGCAAATCAAACTCTTGTTATAGTATTCAGCGCAAGCATACCGGCAACTCTAAATCAGTAGCCTTTCGCAATAGTTGTGTAAGAAAAAAATAATAATAAATATTCCTTTTTGTTCACTTACAATGCACTTGCAGCTTCATGCGTTTGCTAACCGACGGCGGCACACCATTCGAGGCGATGCACATGTAGGCGCCCATTTCGCTGCGTGTGACTTTGGTTAGCGCCAGCATTTCACCCTCAACGGCCAAGGCTATAAAGATATTCAAAATCAAAATAAACAAAAGTATTTATAGTCTAATGATTGCTACATAAATGGAAATAACTCAAAATAAGTACAGTACTAAATTCTATATACTTGTACAATATGTATGTTTCTCTGATTACCTTTGGTCTTTTGATGTGCACCGTTACGTGCTATGATCTCTCGTCCATCTTCTCGCCGCCAAGTGATTTTAGGCTTCGGGTGACCACGCGCCCGACACACCAACTTCGCTGAACCACCTTCGGGCACCATCATGTCACCGGACGTCTCTTCATTGACAATATCTGGTGGTATCACCACTTCCAGTGTAGCTGTCTGTTAAAATCGATGTCGGATTTCATATAAAGATGTATATATTTTGAAAATTTTCAGACTTTTGTGCAAAACTCGGCTTGGGTTCTTTTAAATAATAAATCCATCAATCAATTGTCAAAACATAATGGACACATATCGCGGAAATCATTTATTGGATATTCTCTATAAACTGAGCGCCTTAGATAAGCTTAGTTCAGCGGAGCGCTCTCATATCTCGTCTTTCAATTAATGTAGTAATGTATATAATTATATTGTGCTAAACCTAATCGAGTGGTGAATCGAACAAACAACTGGTAAACTGGTGTCTCCAAATATAGACGAAAAGGAAGTGGCTATTCTACATGAGTGAGAAAACCACATACTCATTTGTATTTAATACAGCTGGATAACTTTGTATAGTAATTTGCCCTCAGCTGTTATCTCTATCTTGTTTTTTTCTCTCTTTTCTTTTTATTTCTATCTCTTTATTACATTCTCTCTCTCTCTCTCACTCTCGCTTTCCTTTTCCAGCTCCCCTTATAACATTCTTTCTATATTTCCCTGCCTCTCTTCCTTATATATATAGGTATATATAATACCCTTTATAAAATTAATATTACTTCACTCGTATTGAATATGGCTTTTGCCAACCAATTTAAGCAGCTCATAAAGTAACCTAAAAATCAATGCTCCAATGCTAATTTTTTCCAAAGATCAAAATTTAACCACACTCTACAATTGAAATCACTCATACGTATATCGAATGCGACAGCTGCGAATGTTAACCGTTGGAATGCATCCAGCGAACAACTGACGCTGACCCTGCCTCTGAGTTGTCACTCATCGTGCTGATGACTGTTTTGTCAACACTCTTGTTGCCAGCAAATCGCTTTGTGCGGTTGCCAACAGCAGTCAATGCTTCTGGGTAAGAACGAGACCGGCTATGGTGCATAACGGTGCGAGACATACTGATATTTGTGTGTGTCTGCCTCGTGCACCACGCAAATAACGCATAAAAAATTGAAGTGTGCTCATATGTCGCCACAATTCAGCCTTAAACGCAGTGAGTCTAGTGTGATAAGTTCGCCACTGACCTCTTTCCACAGGCCCGCAGCGCCCTCGAAGCCACTCGCCACTTGTCATGACGTTACTTAAACTCTTTTCCCTTAACTGTTTCATAGCGCACTGTGCACTCTCTGTCATTGTTGGCTTAACACTTGAGGCAGTGCGCTGACAGCGCCGGTCCTGTGCCATCCATTGTACGCAATTCCGACCATATTTGCCAATACTTGTGTATATATACCCAAGTATGTGTTTATTGTCGCATTTTATTTATTTTTTATGATTATTGTTTACTTTTATTATTTAAGCATTTATTGTCATTGTCCTTGACGGCTCCTTTTCTGAACACACCGTGGACTTGCATGTATAATATATTTGTAGAAATGAATGTACGAATCTATAAATACCATATAGGTATATAAGAATGGACGTCTGTTGATAAGTCTTGTCAGACTTTAGTACCTTCATATGTATGTCGTTTTTATTTCTTTTTATGCACGTCATTCCGCTAGACCTTAGTGGTTTAAGTGTCTTCGGTTTTGAGTATTTGCAGATTCAATTCAATTGTTTGAATATTCAAAAATACACTTGGCATGTGAAAAATATTTTTGTGCTTGTTTTTTGTTCGTGAGATCAGTTATCACCCAAAGGTAAAGGCTTTATTTGCTGCCGACTGAGAGCTGATGACTTTAGCAATCTAAATCTCTCGTTGTATAAGTGTGGTCGGGTTTTCAAAACATAAAATTTCGTACTAAAAAAATTCCCAGACAGTTTTGTGATTGGTTGAACCAGTATTGTTTGAGCACGCCGCTCAGATGGTCACCAGCAAAGACAAAATCAGTCACATTTAACAGTAACAGTTTTAGAGTAGGAACCACTCAAATAAGGCTGGGTACAAAAATAAGCCCAATATACATATGAGTACCACACGAGTTAACCGAATTTCTATCTGCGAACTCTGAAGGAGATAGTTATTGGTGATGGAAAGTAAGTCACTTACGACAACGTCAAGCGGAGACGGGCAAAGTTGAATGACGGAGTCCCTGCGCAAACGTTGGCCAAGCCAGAATTGATGGTCTGGAAAGTTTTGTTCTACGTCTGGTAGGTTTGGCAAGGAATCCTCTACTATGAGCTTCTCCCTTACTGCCAAACTTTTTAATTCGGACCTGCACTATACACGATTGGACCGTCTGAAAGAAGCAATCGCCCAAAAGCATCGGAAGCTCGGGAGCATTTTATGCATTCATCTTGTAGTTAGATCTGGCACCAAGTATTTACTACCTCATCCTGTCTATGGCCTTTATCAAATGTAATAGAACATAATGTTTATACAAATTCTACAGCAGGTGACCCATGACGACTAACTGTTGAAGGTATATGCACCTTATATTTCTTATAAATTTTATACAAACTATGGAATTGGCTCAATTATATAACATTTATATGATTAGTGCTCCGACATAGACCTAAATTTGTCCATGTAAAAAAGGAAAAACACATATTTTTTTTTTTACTTATAAAGGGGTTTCCAATAAAAGTGTTATGATTAAAAAAAACACACACTAATTATTGAGGGCATTCAAATGTTTTTTATTTGATGTGCAGTGCAATCGATAAAATTAAGTTCTAATTATAAAATCATTCAAATGGCCTCCACGACTGCTTTTGCAGGAACGAATTCGATGGATCTAATTTTCGAGAACTTTTTCCACGAAATCAAGTCGTATGTCATGCATAGCACGTACAATATTGACTTTTAAAGCTTCATGAGCACGATGACTTCAAATAACCTCACAAGACGTGGTCTAATGGTGTTAAATCACAACTTCTTGGGCACCATTAAATGACACAATTTCTTGAAATTATCGAATCTCCAAACTTTTTTCGCTATAATTCGGTCGTTGCACGTGCTGTGTGGCACGTAGCCCTGTTGTGTTGGAACTAGACTTTTATTCGAAAGTGCTGTTTTTAGTGGTATTTTATTGCCCAGGATTAATAAATTCCTTGTAAAAAGGTAAGCTTAAATTCTTTATATATATATATTTTCTTAATTTCGAGCGGGTATTTTCTTTTTATATTTATAAGTATGTTTATAAATGGTAATTCTGTTTCGTACGCAAATTGAGGTCGTATTGAAGTAACTTCATGGAATACTGCATTAATCGTAATTTCAATGGAAAAAAGAATTAGCTTCGTCAGCTTAACCTTGAGTTCATTTAATGCAGATTATAAGTGTCAACATCAACGCATTTACACACATACGTATGTAATTTTATATACTTATATATTTAAACCTGAACAATATTTACTTATCCGTCATTGTCTTTATTTCCAAATGTCACGTATACGCCATGCGTGCCCAAGTGCTTTTAAGGCAAACAAATCGGCTTAGTATGTGCTTGTCGCAGTCGATGAGACTTGCAATGCTATTTTTGCTGATATTATTACTTTTTTTTGGCACAAGGTGAGACACTCAATTAAGATTGTACAATGAGATAAGCGTTTTTTAATTTGTGCGACAGCACAATACACATACACGCATAGGTAAAAATACTCACACCTAATATATATACGCCTTGTCTGCATAAAAGCTTATTGTGCTCAAATTGCGGGTGATTGAAAGACCGGAGCTGGTAATAACAAGTCACAAATCTCGTACAAGACAAGTGTTTTTCTACAAAATACCCACACAAACGCTTTCACACACATGTGCCCATACAAATCGAAGTTCGTGTGGGAGTGTTGGAAGGTGTAGAAGGTTTGAAGAGCTTTTCATTGCTTTCGCCATTTGGCAATCGGCGCTCATAAGCAATTAATCATGACACAGCCGTTTGGCTCAAAACGTCTACACGATGCATAAAAATGGTAAATGCGCCGACACACTCGTCCAAATAAGTGGAAGGATAACAATGTGGACTCGCTCTCTGATTGAATGTATTTGTATGTGTGGATGTGTACTTTTGACAGTTGTTTTTTCATTGCTTCGTTATACGGCACTTACTTGCATTTTCATGGGATCCGTATTCACTTGACACATGTACTTGCCGGAATCCTCCATTTTCACATTCCTTATGACCAGCGTCCACGTATTGAAGTCATTATGTGTGACTGACAATCGATCATTGTTCGTTATCACGTGCTCGTGTATGGCCAGAATCGCCTTCGCATCGGCCTTAATCCAAGCGACCTGTGTTGCGGCGTTGTTTATTCAAATTGCAATCGGAGATAGAAGGCGCAGACAATAGAAGGGGGCAGGCAGCGCAATAGCCATTGATATGGGCGTTGAAGCGCAGATCGTTTATTGATATGCATAGTCATATGTGTGTGTGCCAGCGTGCGTGTATGCCGTTCGGCCGGTCGTGTTATGGTTGTAGTGGTGATTCGTAGTTTATTTGGTTGTGCGATGGCAGTGGTGAGTGTGGTATGTGTGGTTATGTTTTGGGGTTAAGTAATGTGTTGGTTTTATTTTCACAAGCGTGCATGTGTGTATGAGTGTTTGTGTGGCCACAGCAGCGCACAGCCGTTGCGTTCAAATTGCAATTTGATGTGTGTGCGAGTTTTTTTATTTTTGAGTTTTTTTTTTTTGTTTTAGTTATTTGCGCGCATGTGTGTATTTATTTTTTATTTCCATTTTATTTTTGCATATCCGTTTCCAATTGGTTTGGTTGTATTTGTAGTGGTTAGTTGTGTTTTTGCAATTTTTTTGTTTTTGTTGTTTGGTTATCAAAACCGGTCGTTATGCCGATGTTTCATTAGTTTCGTATAGACAGTCGTTATTGTTAGCGATATGTGAAAAAAACCAAGCAACAACAACGAAAACAGCATTGAGGCGCGCACAGTAAGCGGGATTAGCGTTCACGGGCGGAAGAAATCAGTGACCAAAAGGCAACAGCACAGCCATCACAGCAACAGCCATGTGGTCATAGTTGTTGTTGTTTTTCATATTGGTTGTTGTTTTTATTCACAGTTGTTGTTTTTTATTATGGTTAGTGTTATTGTTGTTTTTCGTAATGGGGTTTGTTGTTGTTTTTTTTCATCGTGATTGTTTTTTTCGTAATGGTCGCAGTTTTTGTAGCGCGCCATTATCATTGTCATCCGCATCAGCGTTTATTCAACAATTTCCGGCATTTTCGCATTACGTTTTATTTTGTGTGCGTTGATTTGATTTTTATTTTCACAATTGTACATTAACGAATTTAACGTTTATACGATGGTTTTGTGATTTTTGTATCGTTTATGTTGTGAATGCATTTTGTGTGTTAGAAATTTAGATATGCATAGATTTTAATTATATTTGGAATGACAAAAATTGTAAAACAATTTAAATAATTTTTTTTTTAATTTTAAATAAAAAATTGATTTTTTTAAAAATTAATTTTGAATTTTTTTAAAATAAATTTTGATATTTTTTAAATTTAATTTTAAATTTTTTTTGTAATTTTTATGTTGTTTTTATTATTAATTTATTTATATTATTTTTGTATAAGTAATATTTTGTAATTTTAAATAATTTTTTATAATAAGGAATAAAATAAATATTTTTTCGTAACAATTTGCATTTCATTGTTATTGTAAATTTTTAATAATTTTTAATTTGTGAAATTCAGTTGATTTATATTTAATTGTTTTTAAATATGTTTGTTTCAATATTTATTTATTTTTTTTGTACATTTTATATTTTATATTCAAGTATATAATTAAAATTTTTTAAATTTAATTTATTTTATTTAGAAATAAATAATTTATATTTTTTAATTTTTATTTATATTTTCAAATATAATTTATTGTTTTGGTTTCCCACAAGACCCATTTACACGCAATATTTGTTATTCAAAAAAAAAAATCGATTTGTATGCAGAAGAACGCGCAACCACCCATGCAATTGTCGTACCAGGCAGTCAGGCCGGCAGAGAGTTAGTCAACGCGGAATTTCGTAACCACAGTCCACCATTACGAATCGTTAGATTTTTTGTTGTTGTTATTTTTTTCGTTCGTTTGAAGGTAAAAGTACCGTTAGCCATCAACATTTCGATCATTTGTTATGTGGTTTGTTGTGAATATTGTTGTAGTTGTTTTAGTTTCGGTAAGTCATCATTGTCGGCAGCGGTGACACGTTGGCGTTGGTACAATGTTCAATGCATTGTTGCCAGATGTCAGCGCAATTTGACGCCGTTTTCAATTTAGAAGTTGCATTTTTTATGTTTTCAAAGTCCAGTAGTTTTTTATTTATATTTTCAATATCCGTTTTGTTTTTTTGGTGTTTGGTTTGATTTGCATTTGGTTGCGATGGAGATCATTGTTGCAGTTGTTTTTTGTGCGGCATGGAAAAGGATATTTCAAGTGCAATTAGTGGATATTGGATTATTGTTAGCAGCGTCGTAATTTTCGTTTTTTTGTTTTGATTTTGTAGTGTTGTATTTAGAGCCCACGGACATTGTCAGTAGATTAAGTTTTAGTGGTTTTTATTTTGTATTTATGTTAGAAGAGAATGGATTTTGATTTTGAATTAGTTTGGTTTTAAAGTTATTTTAATTGGTAAGAGTATATGTGATATTTTTGTTATATTGTCAAATATTTTGGTTGCGTATAATTTGTAATTTTGTTGTTTGTTTGTGTTGATTTTCAAAATTGCATTTATAGTGTTTTGATATGTAAAATATTCGGATGAGTTACATTAATTTGCAAAATTTTCCATCGACGCAAATAGAGTTTAGAAGAAAAATAAAAATTTTTCAGATTTAGCTTAGATCGTTACAAAATTTTCAATTTATTTATACACCAAAAATTACATTATAGAAAATGGAATAAAAAAATTAGATAACAAAAACTCATATGGTGCAGTTGGTGCATGGTTAGAGTTATAATAATATTTTTCTTTTTAAAAACATTCAGATTAAACATAAATATATTTGATTTGTTTTGGTGGTAACTTTATTTATAATGTTGGTTAATATTAGTCTATGGCATACATGTAGGTTTATATAGTTACATAAAGAATATCAGCATAAACGATAGTGATAGAGGTATGAAACCGTATATAAGTATTAGATATAGTAGTCAATAGTATAGTTAGAGTCAAATTGTTAAAAAAAGTGATTATCTGAACATGCAAATACATATATTGTGTAATGGTAGACTATTTTGTCATTTGTAAAAGAGTCTTTAACTGAAACAATAGGTCGTTGGGCAGAACAACAGTTTTCTTTTCAAAAGCATAGATTGTGATTTATATTGATTACGAGTACTGCTAAGTCTTGGAGACTGATGCTAAATTTAACTAACTTTGCTTTAACAGTTTACGAGAAATCTCACAAGACAAGAAATAAGATTGTTCCTACTAAGCACATTAAACTCGCACTATGCCATTAGCATACAATTGTGTGTTTCAAGTGGATTCGCATGAAGTACTAATAAAGCGTATAAGGAAAAAACCTTAAACAACTGCATTCTTGTATAGAGAAATGCCAGTACTTGAAGCTTTAATTCATGCTTAAAGCTTTTTTGATTTATCAATAATTCAACAAGTGCAAACGAAAATATCTGCCTATCCTATCGTATAAATTCTAAACCTTTGTATAGCTATAGAGCTCTTACATATATCTTAAGAAAAACAGCAAAATAATAGTATGCTGCAAAATATGTTTTTTTAATTCTTTAAGCATGCTCTTTAAAACAGAATTGCGTAATCTTCAGAGCAGCGCAAATGATTTTCAATTTCGGATAGGATATTTATATCGTGAAAAAGTTGTACCAGTGCCCCAATTTCGTGTGTTTTGCAGGATTATTACAAATGTCAAGGTTCGGTTGTGTGCTAAGCAGTGCTTCAAACCTTTCTCATATTTGTTGGGTTGTAAGTTCAGAATCGCTTTAACTGATGGCATATGTGTCTTTTGACACAAAATTTACCAGAAATATAGTATATTTAGGTTATAGAAGTTTTTCTAATTATATTAAGATATCTCACATGTCCGATATACCATATTTATATGGTATAAAATCAACCGAAATATTTTATTTGTTCGATAAATATAAATGAGCGACATATATTAACCTTTATCGACCGTTTAAGTATAAATTCACCCTTCGTTAGGAAAAAGGATATAATCTTCTTTCATTCAAATATTTGAGGCTTTGAACATCACGTACAGGATAAGATGCATATAACATATGGATATCCTGATAATAGGAATTTGGGGCTAGGACCAATTTTCAGTTTCTTCTATCAAGAGCTTATATCCACTTGCAAATATGAAAAAAGTGTTTTACGCATATTTACAAAATTTAGTGTGCTTTAATAATCGGTGATTCATATTTAAAAACTTTGGATCAACCCTTAGTCAATCTCCAGGAGGACCTCCGAAAAAAGCTGCCTGGCAGTGAGAAAGATTTTTTTGCTTAAAAGTAGCTCAAATCTTAAATAAAAAAAAAAATTTTTGTTACTGTAGATAAACATATGTAATGATGAAGAGCTAGTCAAAATTTTAATTTTTGACAAAGTGGCAGTTTCCAAAAAAAATTCGTTTTTTGAAGTATTTACACATTATTAGAATGGCTTAAAGGGGTATTCCAGTGTAGAGGCATCCATTTCAGGAAATTTTTGAAGTATCGTAATCAAAGTCAGTTTAAGTTTACTGTCCATCTTTTTATTGTTATTTATTAACATTAAAAGAACACAAGAAAAACGTCAAAAACAAAAAAGTGAAAATTAACAGCTGATGAGTTTCTAAAAAAATTCAAAAAATTTGCGCGTGACTTTACCCACGATTTCAACCCTCCTAGCAATCTGAAACCACAAAAAAAGAGTATTAATCTAGAATAATGTCGCGATGTCCGGTTCTATGAAAAAGTTGGAAACATTTTTTTTCCACGAAATGGCGACTGTTTGAAAAAATGCGATGTTTCTACCTATATTTTTGACTGTTTCCAATTATCTAAAAATTGTTAAAAATATATATTTGGGTATATAGATAGTTCCAGACATAGATAAATTTCCAAATAAAACTCTCTAAAAATTTCAGGTAAATCGGTGCAGTAGAACCTGAGAAATCGTCGGTATCATTTTGAAAAAGACAATTTCAAGAAAAACGCGTTTAGCTGGTCAGCAACATTTCCGAAAATAATTTGAATTTTAAAAACTCCTTTGAAAATATATGTTATTTCTATACTGAAATACTCTCTTAAAAATCG